TTTAATTATTTTCATTGAAGGAACTAGCAACAGCAAACATGGTCAAAATCATAATAACTAAAATAACAATAAATCATAATCACAATAATCGTCATGATCATATTCACTATCAACAATCATATGCACACACATAGGGCAGAATACTTGCTTAAGAAATACACGCCTAACTATCCTACAACTTGCACGCAAATCAGATTGCTAAATCAGATGTCAATAGACCTACTCGCAGGTGCGTTTGATTCATACTGGCACCTATCAAAGGTCAGGTCATTGTGCGCGAACCTTTTTTCCCCCAAGGTTTCCTATTGTGCTTGTCATGGGGGCTACATCTTTATCTCTTCAGTGGGTTATCCTTGAGAGAGAGAAAAAGAGAGAGAGAGAGAGAGAGAGAGAGAGAGAGAGAGAGAGAGAGAGAGAGAGAGAGAGAGAGAGAGAGAGAGAGAGAGAGAGAGAGAGAGAGAAATATCCTTAAAATGAAACATTCATAAGCCATATAGCGAGTTCGCACTCATCTGCGAACTCGCTTCCCCAATCCCTTGTAACTAACGTTGCACTTCAAAACCTTACATCAACGAAGGACCCATCTCACTTGTAGAAATGAAAGGAGCGTAGAATTTTCCAGATGTCAGTTTGCAGATACACACTGGCTTTATTAATGCACAAAATATTGATTTATTGTTTGTCTGCATTTGCCTGCAAGTCCAACGGGCATCATACATTTTTATATTTAGAAAATATAGCAAACACCTACGGGGTATTTTTTCTTGGGGGTTTGGAACTTGCAATAGGGCCACGCACTGTACATTCAAACTTGTTGATGTCTATTACACATTGTTATTGAATCATGAATCAAAATAGAAGATATTTGCTAATTAACATGATTTGCGATGTGTTTTAGTCACCTTAAACAGCCTCGTCTCTTATTAGCCTAGTGCATAACAGGCATAAACCTATACCCCACTGGGGAAAAAAACGGGTTAAATCAATGTTGTTTCCACGTCATTTCAACCCAAAAAAAACAATGTGATGACGTTGAATCAACTTGCGAAATTAATTGGATTTGCAAAAAGTAATCAAGGTAAGGGTATTTCGTCTTTTTTGTCACCCAACTTTTAACGTTGAATTTAACTCAACCAAATGTAAATCAAATCTAGACGTTGAACTGACTTCTGTGCCCAGTGGGTAGCGAGTAGACATAATATTTATACCTAATCCCCGGAATATGTTAACATTATCTCATAAAAGCTTGTTCAGAGCCAGCATTGAGTATTAACTCCTCATGTTACAGTCAGAGAAAGCTGATACAAAAGCATCGCTTCAGGCCCACATGATCAACACATATGTTCCTTTCTACTTCAAATTGTTGAACATGGCAAACTGAACACTGTGCTGTAGCCTTGTCTATAACTCAACATAATATTGATATTTGATATTTTATCATGTTAGCCTATTTTGTTGCAGCTTAAGATAAAATGTTGCAACAGTAGGCTATTACAACCAACAAGCTCTCACAGTTTCCCTGCAGAAATATACGTTATTGCATTTATCTCCAAATGTCAAATTTCGAAGTTACTCCAAAGTCAGATTTTGAATTGTTTTTGACACCCTGGGTTGCTTCTCCTGATTACACCTACAAGTGTGTGTGAGACCATTATTAGGCCTAATTGGACTGTTCTGGCTTGTTTCCGCATAATAATAATAATAATGATCATTAAAATAATAATATAGTTTTGAGTACATTTTTATTATTATTATCGGCAGCAGTAGTAGGCCTAGTAGCTAATAGTAGCAGTAGTAGTAGTAGTAGTAGTAGTAGTAGTAGTAGTAGTAGTAGGCTAGTAAGCTACACGCATATAGCCTATAAAGTGCAACAGTGCAGATGTTCTTCTTCAAAGAAATCAAAGAAATACTGGCCAAATGGGCGCTTTCCTCTCTGCTTCAAAAGCACGTAATTTGTGGGCTGCCATAAAACACTTAGGCATAGGTATACAGCTCATTCTCCCAGCTCACGTGACTACACCGCATCCCAACAGCTCTTGTGAATTATGCAATGGAACTACCACAAAAATCATCATAGTGGCTTTATAAACAATCATGTCAAAGACTTTGGTCGTATAAGGGTAAAACTTACAGAGACTATAAAGGGTATAAAAAGTGAAATAACAATGCAGTGAGTGCAGTGATATCATTGAGGTTCACACTCAGTCATCTCATCCGTCACAGTTGACAACACGTTGAAGTACGTGGTGGTGATACATTATGAATATTGCTGATTTCGGTAGCGCGCTCGGCTGTATGGTTCTCATCAAGCGCTAGACGCCCAGACTTATGTAGCCCAAGCAATAGGCCTATACAGCCTGCGATCATTTTGGCTTAGTTGAGTGTAGGAGGAGAATCATAATTCTATTCGCAGAATGGGGATACTATTTATGTAGGCTAGTGAAATGACCACATGCGTAAACATTTATGCACACATGACTGTAAGTCGCTTTGGATAAAAGCGTCTGCTAAATGGCATATTATTATAGTTATGACGCACTTGCAACTTCGTCAAATAGTTAACACAAGTAATAATGTTTACAATTAGATGTTTTTAAGATTTACATTTTAGTCATTTAGCAGACGCTCTTATCCAGAGCGACTTACAGTTAGTGAGTGCATACATTTTCATACTGGCCCCCCGTGGGAAACGAACCCACAACCCTGGCGTTGCAAGCGCCATGCTCTACCAACTGAGCTACAGGGGATGGAATATTATTTCTTGGTTTTCCTATTTTTGTTATATTTGACAGTCTGCGGATGTCACATATGGCCACTAATCCAGTGGGAAACATTTATTGCACCACAGACGTCCTCGTCTTTGTTCCGTCCTCGCTTTTATGGCCTGTTTAGGACCCAAAACAGGAGCATAGACCTAAATATACAAGTTAAATATTCGTTTTGTTGTAGTCTGTATAGATATCCCCTTGTCAAATAAATTTGTATACATTTGTGGTTTCAATACTGTGAATTCTCGATTTGTTTTAAATTCTATACATTATCACTATTGATTATTGAGAAAAAAATGGAGATATCGGCAATCTTTAGCTAATATCGTCCTCTAATCGATGTTTTGTTATCAAATAGCTTAAAGTTTGAACAATCAAATGAATCAATCTGAATTGATTTACATGCAGGTGTGTTTTGAAGCTGAAGATGGAAATGGCTTTGCAGTAGTCTATTTGACGGACACGGAGAACAAAAGGGTTCAATGTGGAATATTGGTATCCTATCTGCAAGATCATAACAGTTTTGTCGAGTTTGTACCTCATATGGAGTAGCTTTCCATAGAATGGAGCGCCATTTTTATCCGGGTAGTCATTCAATGATAAATGACTTTTGTTAATGATAAATGACTCCATTTCCACAGTTACGCACGAGCTCATGTCACAGGCCTACATAAAACACAATTGTAGGTCTATTTTTGATTTGATTTGATTTGATTTATTAGGATTCCCATTAGCCGACGCCAATGGCGACAGCTGGTCTTACTGGGGTCCGACACATAACGAAAAAGACATTACAGACAAAATACTTTACAATTTACATACATATGGTCTATAGCTAAAGCACTAGGCTATTTCAAAATATCCATCCTTGTTTAAGATATAGCCTACATCATGTCATCAATACTAAAATCCCATAAATACCGTTCATTGATGTAATATTTCTGTGAAGGCAACGCACATAATGTATATATTTAAGCAATAAGGCACGAGGGGATGTGGTATGACCGATATACCACGGCTAAGGGCTGTTCTCATGCATGACTCAACAAGGAATGCCTGTATACAGCCCTTAGCCGCGGTATATTGTCCATATACCACAAACTCCCCAGGTGCCTTATTGCTATTATAAACTGATTACCAACATAATTAGAACAGTAAAAAGTATTTTTTGGTCATACCCCTGGTATATGGTCTGGTATATCATGGCTTTCAGCCAATCAGCATTCAGGGCTTTGACCACCCGGTTTATAATATGCAATTTGGCATTGATATTACAGTATTTGGTGAGAGTATCCTAAAAAAGTGCTCTGTGGATACATCCTCTGACATAGCCTGATCAATGCTCTACTCACGGTTGACTGCTGGATTTTCAGGAGAGGTGGTGGAAACAGTTAATCACTTAGGGTAGTAACTCTTTAAAAAATGTAACATTATTCTCATATTATTTTTCCTTGCGTTTATAACCCAATACATTCGTTTCAGAGGCTCGAGACTTATATGTAGAGTTACTTGTTGGTGAGCTGGGCAACGTCACTTGGTTTTATTGGCCTTCACAGAAGAGACCCTAAACGCATTCTTAACATCCCCACCCTTCCCCCTAACAATCGGAATTACCAGTTCAGAGCCGAGGCCCGATAATTACCTACAAGTCATGTAATGCATTTCAAACACGATGTAAATCATGGAAAGAATGTGACAATTTCTTGCTCAGCAAAAACACAATAACCAACAGAGCACGCGAGTTTTATGAGGGTGCTACCGATACATAAACATCTAATTTTAATACAACTCACCCTGAAATGATGTACAGTGCTGAGGTCAAACAATTACATTATACAAATATACTATCACGGTGTACTTTTTAGTGGCATTTACAATATGCAAAATATTTTAGAGCTAAAGCTGGTTACCTAAAAGCTACAGTTTCCTTTTAACTCCTTGCTCTCAATTGGTGGAGAAGAGTCAGCTGACATTGTCATATTTTCCCTCTCCGAGCCTCAGCTATATCCCTCGGGTTAGTGCGTCTTACTGGAAATTAATGATATTGAAACCTCAACGAACCGTCCATTTTACAGAAGCAGATAACGTCTAAAGTGATGGTTTTGCAAAGGTGTGTGAGATAGACAGAGCATAAAGAGAGAGGGGAAGGGGGAGCTACTGAGAGAGGGAAGTGGAGAAAAAAAGATCGATAAAGAAGTGGGGAGAGTTGAAGGAGAGGGTTACAGGCAAGGTATGAATTCGTATTTCGCAAACCCGTCGCTCTCCTGCCATTTATCTGGTGGTCAAGATGTTTTGCCAAACGTGTCCATAAATTCCACCACTTATGACACAGTGAGACATTTTTCCTCATATGGGGCTGCTGTGACCCAGAATCGGATATACCCAAATCCTTTCTATTCTCCCCAAGACAATGTTGTTTTTGGGCCGAGCCGGGCATCCTATGAGTATGGATCTAATGTGTTTCTTCAAGACAAGGATGGGGGTCTTGCCAGTTGCAGACAAACAAGCAGGGGGCTGAATGCACAAAGCCACAGTGCTCAGGAGTACAGTTTGGATCACGCCAGAGGATCGCAGGAGCAGAAACCTAACGTCCAGATTTACCCGTGGATGCAGCGAATGAACTCTCACAGCGGTGAGTTTTACTACAACAAATAAATTAAGTAAATGGGTCAGTTTTACGATATGTCTTAGCAACAGAGCAACTTCGTTTTTATGGCCCCATAAAACATCATTGTATCGTCTCGCCCTGGAGAAAGGCCTCCTTTCTGAGTGTGCGTAACTATTCTAACAGTTGCCCAAAATGTGTATTGTCAACGTTTACCCCCAAAAATCCTATGTTTTGTTTATCCTGAATCTTATATATTTAATTTAAACAATTTCATAGACTATGTATATTTTACAAACAGATGTTGGACATGCAGATTAAGTCTCATGGTTTGGAGAACTGATTGCTTATTTTACTGCATGCCATAGTCGTTCCTACCAGGAGCAGAAATAGGATATTTTGGACATTAATTGCTCCCATCACATTGTCAGTACCTTTGTAATGATGTCTAATCTGGATTATGGTGATTAAATCATCTGATGTCAGAAAAATGTACAGAATGGGTATATATACATAAATGTAATCCAATACTTTGCTATGTTTTCTATTCACTGCACAGGAGTTGGATATGGGTCAGACAGACGCAGAGGACGCCAGATATACTCCCGTTACCAAACACTGGAACTGGAGAAGGAATTCCATTTCAACCGCTATCTAACCAGACGTAGACGTATCGAAATAGCAAACGCTCTCTGTTTGACAGAACGTCAGATCAAAATTTGGTTCCAGAACCGTCGTATGAAATGGAAGAAAGAGAGCATTCTAACGTCGCCGGTGACGGGAAGTGAATCAACAGGGGCCTCGGTGGAGGAAGGAGACGGCGTGGAAGAGGAGAAAGAAGAGGGAAAAAAATAAAAAAAGATATGAAAGAAAGACATTTAAAACGAAATCATGAAACTCCAACTAAACTACCTACACATTTAAGGACCAGAAACTCCAATGCATGATATTATTCTGCTATTTGTCTCCCTCTCACAAAACTTATAGGCTACCTACACGCGCGTAAAACCATGCAGCGTTATGAAATTCAGTTGTTGTTTTTTTGCTGAAAAAGCATATAGTCAACTGATAGATCTTTACTTCTTGTTTGCGTAATGTCCTTTGTCATATGTGTTGTGAAATGAAAAGTGATACATTCATAATTTTCTTCCAAAGTTTCCCCATTTACACTGTAAAATGTAGTAATCTATGTATCGGTTTGGATCACTTCAATCAATTCACATAGGTCAGTGATAGGCATCGTTTACAAACACAATATGCATAAGCCTTCCAAATGTGAAGGAAATGCGAAGGCACATTTATTTTGTTTTTGTTCATATATGTATTTGAATCTTTACTTTCCCATGAATCTCATCGTGGTTTTGTGTTGTGCAATATGCATCTTGCAAATATCCTGAAAGCTCTCACGAGGTGAACAACACTACCTAAATTGTAGATATGCCTGTATATATTCTATGTATGCTTATGTATACCCTGTGCAGCTTAAATGGACGTTCTCTTAAAGTGGCACTTACCACTGTTTAGCCTAATAACCGTTTTTGGTTACCCAAGACTACCTAATAAAGAGGATTAATACTACACAAGCAATCAATCACGTTGTTTAGGGTTGTGAATTTATGTTTTATCATAATTGTGTATCATTGAATAAAATGTTTTCAAAACAGGTCCGGCCCTGTCTTCTGTACAATTCTGAGCCATCGGTGATCACAATACAGATCACTTTTTGCACGATTTGTGTGTTTAGTCTGTAATTTGGCAAAGTATTTAATGCATTACAGGTATTCTACAAAGTATTTAGTGAATGGCTCTTGCCATGTATGAATGTTACTTAACATATTACTGTTTAAGAACACATCCGTATTGTTTCTACAGTCATAATAGCCATTCCAAATTTCCAAATGAAGTAGCAATGGAAACAAATTTGAGATACCAAAATAAACTCAAACATAAGCCATAAGCCATATTGTGCTATAAGCTGATAGCTAATCCAACCTTTAGGCTATCGGCCTATATGCAAGGGCTTAGTGATTGTTTATGCTGCTCAATAAACGTTGATATGGGCCGTTTGGGCACATGGACCTATTTCTTCCGGACTTCCGGGATGACTATCAACCCAATTTAAACCAAATTAAGATAAACCTACATAGCATAATGGCTCCTCGAATAACACAACATTTTAATGTAATAATAATAATTATTATTATTATTATTATGATAGCCGACTATAGAGCATTTTGTCGTTTTGTATTGCTCAATCAGTGTTACTGTTGCTGTTAGGGTTAGGGTTAGGGTTAGGGTGGTATGCTATGTAATGCAGCAGGGCAAGGGAAGTAGGCCTATGGAGGGGCATAGATGAGATGACCGCCCTGGCCTGCCCTACACCAGACACCAGATGACGCTCTTGTCTTACAGTCTCGCCCTTTTCCTCACCCAGACCCCACCATGGTCCCCAACAGCCCACAGCACAAAGTTTACCGGGCACGTTCCCCGTATTCATCAATATACATCTGGTATCTAGCCAATGTATGACTGGCCAACTTCAGCACGTGATCCTATTCAGATTCCCCATATTTGGGCATTGCACGTCGAAACAAGAAAAAAACATATATGAATGCCACCACTTATAAATCGTGGTATTTAAAAAAAAGAAAGATACCTCTTGAACTTCCAAAGTGTTTCCTAGGAAAAGCAATAACCAATATAAAATAACAATACAACAGCAAAATATCTAGCCCAGGCTACTTTCGGATACAATATTTATTCTTAGGCTATTGCAGTTTTTACTTCATGAATCCCTTCCGCACCGTTTTTGTGTGTTTCGTGTAAGATGAGTTCGTACGTAGCAAACAACAATTTTAAGCAGCAAACGCACGAGGCATCCTCCTATAACACCATGAATAGTTTAGGCAGTTATCGCTCTCTCTCTGCCCTCCATCAAGGCAATTATGCATATAACGGAGGTCTTAATCATTTCAACGGAACATTCACCTCTGATGCCACTGTGAACTCTCTGAAACGAGAAGAGATGGAAACTAGCCTGCGAGGCAATACGGACACTCAACCTCCACCACGACCACAGTCATGTTCAGCTGCGAGCTCCCGGAACTCCGTGCAAAACTGCCTCGGTGATGGGATACAGGGCAAAGGGACTGGAAGGCCAATGGAAGTGGTCGAAAACCCTATAACTATGACTGAAGAAAGCGCCATCAAAGTCGAAACTATGCAACCTGTGAAACGTCAAAACCATTCGAAGAAGCACCAAGACAGTCAACAGCAACCGCAGATTTTTCCCTGGATGACAAAACTACACATGAGCCACGGTAAAATTAAAAAATATATGTCTAAAGCCAACTTAAAGCCTACTACTTCCCTCCCTCACTCACTCACTCACTCTCTCGCCTGCTATCCTGCTTTTGTCCATTCACAGTTTTTCCTCTTGAGTTTTATAGGCCAAACGCAGGAAATAATAAAACTGGCGGTGATAAATTTTATGACAAAGGCGTCTATTGCTCATAAACCTGTTCTGTTACTGTGAAGAGGTGATCTGCCGCGGTTAGATTTATGGCTACATAATTGGATAAGAGAAACAAAAATAGAAGAGAACAACGAACGAGTTGGCTATTTTACATTCATGTATTAGTGCTTTTCAGCTGCTAACAGGTTATTATAGTCTAAGATGAGTATAGGCTATACGCTATAGCCTAGTTGAACTCGGAGGAAAACTATGTGCCCTGACCTCCGTGTGAACTTTTCACCTTGGAAAGCTCCAGATATAATTCCAAGATGGCATTCATGTCCAAAATCCACTATTGTCCATTAGGCTATATCCTACTGCTGGAGTAACCACTAAATATTACCACTGCATTTGGTGCTTTATTAAAGACTTAGCCAAAATTATAGTTCTGCGAGTGTTCTTCCTTATAATATTGACCTGGATTTCCCAGTGCAGCCAGTGATGTTTTTTTTGTTTGCCAAGAGGTATTTGAAATAAGCAAGCGCCAGAATAAACCGTTTTTATCCCTTAATTTCAATTTCATTTTTTCGTTCAAGCAGTTAATTTGAATTTAAATAGTTTCACTTCTTTGGGGCTTTAGTCACTTGAACATTTCATCATTTGTAAACAATTTTAATCATTTTAGATGCTGCAACTCAAAAGAGAGAGGCAGTATCTTCATCTCACGTCATTCGACATTAACCTTGACCTCAGGTTATTTTTATATGAATTAAGATTTTATAATATTCGATAACTCTTGGATTTTCTTCAAATGTAGGCTAACGCATATTTTTTCTAATACCACTTCAGAATCATCTGACGGTAAACGCTCTCGAACCAGTTACACCCGCTACCAGACTCTGGAGTTGGAGAAAGAGTTCCATTTCAACCACTACCTCGCCCGTCGTAGGCGCATTGAGATCGCCAATACCCTATGTCTGAACGAGAGGCAAATAAAAATTTGGTTCCAGAATCGACGTATGAAGTGGAAGAAGGATTCGAAACTGAAATCAAAGGATTCGATATAAACATGGGGTTGATGACTGATCTGGAGACGAACTGCTAAAAGAAGTACCCAGAGAGAGACCGTTTTCATAATCCGCATTTATTGTGCTATGGACTATTACATTATTTGCATATTCCGCGTTTGGAACTTTACATGTGGACTTTTATTATTTATTTAATGGTTGTAAAAATGGAAGGAAAATATTGAACAAAAATATAGTAATGTGTTGTCTAAATGTAAAGATTGTGTAAAGACCTTTGGAAGTCTTAGGGAGGAGCTGTGGAGTATAAGGCCACTCCCTCTTTCATGTTTCAATGCATGAGTGGGAAATACATGAACATTCTACCTATTCTCTTATTATTGAGATAATGATCATGTCAGTGAGTGATACTCAGTGGTAATACAATGATAAGGAGGAGACCTAACTGTTCATGACTCTTATAATGACGAATATATTTTATTTTATTAAATGTCTTAAAATTCATATTTGGGCGGAGTGACTTTGTTGTATTCGGGCTTACAGCAAACAGACAGTTGACTTTTTGAACTATGGATTATGTCCCAAAAAAGATGTAAGAGTTTCGTGATGGTATCTGAGGACAGCACACATACCTATAGGCCTACCATTCCATGCCATATATATATGTTCGCAGTTGTCTGATCAAATCGAAACATATTGTGTACATATTGGATAATCTGCCACCCCCTTAGGTGCACAATACCTGCATATGTACAGAAGGCCTATTATAACATTGTCTGAATAAGCTTGTGATTTAATCAAAACGCTTACAGGTGTTGAGAAAACTTTTGAATAAACCTCCCATACCGTATTACCAGCACATTCGTGTCGCTCTTATATATCATTAGACATGTACAGGCACTTAGTATTAAAAAATAAATTCGAGGTCCCACACGTCTATTTAAATAATTTACAGTAGGCCTATCCCTGACAGACAAACGCATGCACATAAAAGTTTAAGGCCCCGACAAAACTGTATTACCCTGTTTCCACCTCTCCACCACAGATAGAAAAATGGTTCCTGTTTTAACAGGATAGAGCCAGAGAGCATAGCTAGCTGCTTCTAAATTCATATGGGTTGAGATGTAGAGGCTAACTTTCTCCATAGGCCTAGCCACTCACAGACTTTGATGTTTCTGTGGCCTTACTCACGGACCAAATGTAAAGCTATGGTTATGAAATATGTTAGAGTATGCTATATGCTTATATTCAGTCTATACCAAAAGGTTTGAAAAAAAATAACTAACAAAAAACGGTTGACTAATATAGCTTTAAGTAAATATTTGATCATGTGAGTCAATATTGTAAGCTAGTGTAGTATTTAGACAAAACCATAAGTTGAAACACAGCTATGCATTGACCTGTATTTGGCCCACTGCTGGCCTAGCTATTGACACCTATTGTAACAATAAGTCTTAACAAAACACAAATCTAGTTTCAGGGAAAACGATTAATCAGATGCCATTTCCTGTAGGAAATGTCGCCCCATATGAAACAAATATATATTTTCACTCACCTCGCAGACTTGTAGCCTAGTTTCATTGCTATATAAATACAACAGAGCATGGTCTGCTTTCTCAATGGCACTGTCGGGCCTAACCGTGCTACGTTGGCATATAGGGCTATCACATCCCCTTTTAGTGTCTCTTTCTTTTAGTATTTTAAAGTTTGGAAGGTTATTTATGCCAATTGCCTCGAGCGGGGCCTGTGAATGGTGCACAGGGAGCACGTGGTGCCATTAAAGTGGGGTTTATGGCCTGGAAAAGCTGACAAACCTTCGATATATACACATCATATATAATCTTAACTGTCCGGAATCGCAGCTGCTGGCTTCTATTAGCTGAGGAAGAAAGGGCTGTGTCTCAGTGTGGATTACCTTGGCCCGGACTAGTCTGTCTGGTGGTGCTGGGCTCTCGGTCACAAATGGATCCTTAAATGCTCCAGTAAGTTTATAATATTTTTACTAACATGCATGTTGCGTCAACCTATAGCGTTTCTTTTGTATTTGATGTTGTGGTTGGGTTGGGTTGATGTTTTCGATACAACGGGATTTGTTGAATTGGTTTTGTGTTACTCATTCCTTACAATTACTATAACCAATCGTTATGTTATATCTGACTCTGCTTGCTGTTTGTTGGTCCTTATAGGAGAAATGTCTTCCAATAGATTACAAACGTGTTTGATTACAAACGTGTTTATGTATGATCATGCATGCATGGTCCCTAACCCCCTAGTAAAATAGTGTTCCTTCTGAAAGAGAGTTCTGTTCTAGCTTTACTGAGTGGGTTCTATTTACTCTCCTGTCATTCATTAGGCATAGGATACATCTTTATACACAACATCATTTATTTATTTAGATAATGGTCTGCACATTGTCAAATGCTTTATGTTACTGTTACACAGTTGTCAGAGACCCAAAATAAGAGTGTGTGTGTCAGTGTGTGTGTGTGTGTTGATGTCCTATCATACAGTACTAACAGTAGCTACTATGTACAGCTATAATCCCACAAAAATGCAGTCAGGTTTCAGAGATGGGTTGTGTGTATAAATTGCAAGTTCATACTTGTGCTTGAATAAACATAGCAACCCACTTTTCAGGATTGTCTTGGTAAGATATTGCTAAATCAGACTGTTGACACAGAGACTGATGAGTGTGCCATGTTCACTGCGCAATGCTTCGACTATCTTTTACTGTGTAGGCCAGTCCAATTGATACCTGTCAAGGTATAGCAGTCCATTGGATAAATGTCATCCATCCCCTGCCCTCCCATAATCAACACACAGACGTGATACTGTTTATTTTTGTAGTTGAGGAATGGAATGTTTACATGGAAAATGTTCTGGAAGGTTCTGGAAGCAAATATTTGTTTAAGAGCAGTGTGACAAGTTAAATCCCAATTGTTACATTGTATCTGCCTCTATTTACTTGGGAAAGTTGTGTGGTTGATATTGGTAAGATCCTTTGTCAGTAAGATCCTCTACTCCTCTGTTATGTTCGTGTGACCTGCCCATGAACTCTGGTCCCCACATTATATTATGAAAAAAAAAATTATGCACTAACTGTAAAGTCGCTCTGGATAAGAGCGTCTGCTAAATGACTAAAAACGTAATATTGTAGCTTGTAATTATGGCCCAGAGGTTTTCCTTGTCAGTTCACATAAGGGCCAGGGAGGAACTCGGGGCCCTGATGATGTAGTGAGTTGATGGGTTCATGTTGAGTATAAACCCCTTACTTCCTGTTAGATGAGGAGAGTGGAAACCAATAATACACAGCCAATAGGGGGTGCTATTAAACATGCTCCCCCTCCATATAGAGATGAATGATGCTATAGAAGAGGGTTTCCCAAACTCGGTCCTGGGGCCCCTGCTGGGTGCACGTTTTGGTGTTTGCCCTAGCACTACACAGCTGATTCAAATAATCAAAGCTTGATGATGAGTTGCTTAGCCCTCTGTAGCTCAGTTGGTAGAGCATGGTGTTTGCAATGCCAGGGTTGTGGGTTCGATTCCCATGGGGGGCCAGTATGAAAATGTATGCACTTACTAACTGTAAGTTGCTCTGGATAAGAGCGTCTGCTAAATGACTTAAATGTTATTTGAATGAGCTGTGTAGTGCTAGGGCAAAAACCAAAACGTGTACCCAGGGGGGGCCCCAGGACCAAGTTTTGGATGGGATTCACCTGGATTATAGTGCATTGGGGTGTAGCTAAGTTCTCCACTGTTCTTAAGCTCAGTATGTCTTACTCTTTGCCTTTTCTATTCTTGTTGACTGTAATCGATCTATGGTACTGCCATGATTGGCAAATAATCATCCAATAAGAAAACCACTGTCTAGTCTAGAATAGATCATGTGAGCGAGTTACCTGGCAAATAGAACATTGCCTAATTGTTGGTAGAGGGACCCACCTCCAGAAGCAAAACATATTTTTAGATGAACAGAAAACTCTACTGTGCTTTTTATGCTTATGCATTTGTTTGTAGACTGAATGGTTTATTATATTGTAATATATTCAGATGATATTCATTTCCCTTTATGAAATTCATTTATTTCATTATGAGATTGCATAAAACACAATAGGAAAGGGATACCTAGTCAGTTGCACAACTGAATGCATTCAACTGAAATGTGTCTTCCGCATTTAACCCAACCCCTCTGAATCAGAGAGGTGCGGTGGGCTGACTTAATCGACGTCTAAGACATCCGCGCCCGGGGAGCAGTTGTTGCTGGGGGTTAATTGCCTTGCTCAAGGGTAGAACGGCTGATTTTTCCATCTTGCCGGCTCGGGGATTCGAACCAGCGACCTTTCGGTTACTGGCCCAACGCTTTTAACCACTGGTCCATAATGAATATGTATGCCATTGAATGGATTTTTTGTGTCTTCATTTCAGTGCCAATGGAAGACAGACGCATGAAAGACAGCCTGTTCTTTTTCAGTTAAGTGTGCGAGTTCCAGTTGTAGATATTGCACGTTTTATGATGTAAAATCATATTCGTTTATGCTTCAGGCTTGAATATACCCAATACTGTGAAATCTGGGGATTTCTACAGATAGAACTTCCGCCCATGGTAATGCCACATTTCTAAATCCAGTCGAACGTCCCCAAACCGACCTGTCCTTAATACCTCTCCTCAGACCCAATTCTAGAAGATCGCACACTTGTTATAGATTTTTCTGTGTCTCCTCACCTCAATTTGAAATGAACAGGGAGGAGGGGGATGAGAGAAAAGGGGTTGGATGGATAGAGTGGAAATGAAAGTAAGACATTATACAAAAAATAATACATATTCAAGGACATTAACATTGTTCCTTAATGGGTAAAGTTAAATGTGGTTATTTTCCAAATACATTTGTTTTGTGTCATATGACTTGATTTTTGTCAACTGATTTTCGATGACAAATTAGCAAGTATTTAGCTATTTCAAACCTGTTAATTTATTAGATAATTCCCTGTTTTTTTATTGCAATAACGATCATTTTATGGTTTATGAAATTCTGCAGTACTGCAGGCAATCCTGGCCCTCCATTACCATTACCTTCTGTTGTTTTTCTGGGCATCATAAGCTATTCTGTTTTAGAGCTTTTTGGTAGCTCAGTTGGTAGAGCATGGCGCTTTCAACGCCAGGGTTGTGGGTTCGATTCCCACGGGGGGCCAGTATGAAAAATGTATGCACTCACTAACTGTAAGTCGCTCTGGATAAGAGCGTCTGCCAAATGACTAAAATGTAAATGTTATTGAAACCATTCCGAATAATTTGGGGTGGGAAAAATATATACTTATACGCATTTTAACTTTATTGGTTATCCCACTAATCATCTAATTTGATATATTTTTTTTCAATTTTGCAGACAACGAATCGAGGGCGGAGGCAGAATGAAGACGAGCATATATGTATCAGTAAGTTGTTTATTATTTTGTACACAAGTAATATAGGCTACCTGCCCTGTCCTTTCCTGTGCACCGAGCCAACAGAGAGGGCAGTGTTCCCTGATAATGGCTATGCTAGGCCTAGACCTATGTACACACATTCCATTGTACAACAATGTGTTTATTATTAAACATTGCATTTCACACAGTTTGGCCTCACCGGGCCTCACCATGCACACTGTGGTTAATGTGTTCTAATATTCTGAAAGATATCTATTCAAAACAATCATTCAGTGAAAGAACAACGAATCTTTCCTCATCCTACCATCAATGTTGTAGCCTACAGATATGTGTTGCATGCATATCGTGTGTTACAGATATGCATAGCCTTTGCGTGTGAAAGAGAACATGCTGTAAGGTTTTCGTGTGAAAGAAAAGTAAAGGTTAGCCATTTTTCCCATGAACAAATGGAACATCAAATTAGTTCGCCTAAGGGCCTCGTTTTTCTGTAGTTCTACATTATAACTAGTTATTGAACTAGGTAAGAGATCTGAATGCCATTTGCGGGGAGAAATTGTTTATTTATTTTCGCCCATCAATAATCCTTGGCAGTGAACTATTGGAAGCAGTCAAACGCGAGGGGTGAAACGCAGGTCAGGCTGTCTAACGAATATTAAAATGCGTCCACAACACTGGAGCTTGGGTGAGAGGGGAGCTGGGGGCGTGCACGAGGCCTGTGAAGGCGTGGCAGGTGGGAGGGGGTGTGCAAAAATTATAATAATATGTGGAGATTTAACTTAAGATGAGAACGAAAGTGTTCATTACATTTTGAGTATGTTTTCTTCTTCTCTTGTCTCATGGTTACCAAGGTAGCTGACGTCTTGTGTAGGCCTACCTACACTTATTCAATTATATTCTATTGTATTCTATGTATAACATTTTATAAAGTTACGTGAACATGTTATTGTTTTGATTAGTTAAAAACGTACATTCTATTGGATTCTATTTCAAGACTCTATATATTAAATATATTCACGATTTCAGTAGCCTATGTTTGCCCCTTTCGATTATTGAAACAGGTCACACTGCAGGATATAACATTTTTCATCTCCGTCTTCTCATTAACTTCTAGAGTGGCAGGAAGAGAGGTTACTGAGCGGTCAGTATGGTAATGGCGAGGCAGGCGAGCACAAGAAATCGTTGGGAACAAAATAAACTTATTTTTCATCTGCGCTGTCACGTGGTCGCTCGCTTTGTACCCACCGTGCACGTGTTTTTCCTGAATATTCATAGTTCAGATGAGTCACCTCAAAGGCAGGGTTTTGATTGAATCTGATGGAGAAAAAGCATCTTCGGCAGGCAACTCTATTCGTATGTGTGTGCGTGTGTGTGTATGTGTGTGTGTGTGTGTGTGTGTGTGTATGTATGTATGTATGTATGTTTGTATGTATGTATGTATGTATGTATGTATGTATGTATGTATGTATGTATGTATGTATGTATGTGTGTGTGTGTGTATGTGTGTGTGTGAAAGAGAGAGAGAGAGAGCGAGAGAGAGAGAGGTTTTTACCTAACCGAATTCTGCCAGTTCGAGCTCTTCTTTTCAGGCTGCAATGGAAAAGACTCATTAGTTGTCTATATGTACCCTGTAGAACCGAATTTGTGTTAATAGATAACAATCGCAAGTACGTCTCTACAGGAATACATGGGCTACTGAAATCCCACGTATGTCAAGATAATCGTCTGCTTCAACCCTCGCTTCTATCCAGTAGGTTATAGCTGCATGCAGTGTAAGCCGGAATAATAGGGCACGAATAGCATACATCTCAGAAGTCTGTGTGCAGCATACACAGTATGTTTTCAACCTCCACATAAGTAGCCTAGGCATTGTCAGGCGTCCATAGGCTAATGTTGTGTACTATAGGCTATCTGGAAGCAAAGGGCTACTAGTACTAGTCGGTCGGTACCAGTAAAACATGTAAGAAACCAGCGATCGTTTAAAGCGGACTGATTTATGCCATTTTTGTATGTCATTTTCACCTGCTCATATAGGACTAAAAGAAGACCACTACCTCGACTTTAGATGCTGATTAACAGGTGATTGACCTCGTGTCATAACCCTTGTTAATATAATTTATTATAATCCATCCCTAGCATGTAGTAGGCCCTACATTTATAATATATTTATTTTATTTTAATATTAAATATGTAAATATTTAATATTATTATTAACTCCATTGATTTATAAAGGTCACATTGATTATGTAGGTCTACAGTCCTGTGGTTTGTGGTGTCATGCATAATTGAAGGGATGGAATTACAGCCACTAACATATTTAGCCAACAGTTAATGGCAGTATAATAGTACCTGTAAAGCGGATAGTCTACCAATCATAATTGACAGCTTTATCTGCAATGATTTACTTTTCTGAACACAACAGTGGATATAGTTCGTAATGGACTTTACTCCCCCATCTAGGTCTAATATCAAATGAATAACCTTACACGTGCACTTAGACAACAGCTTGTGTTGATGGAGTTAAACTTTTGGACAAAACGTCCCTGAGAGTAATTTCAGGGCACATAAAGCTGGTTTCATCACCATTGCAGCCTTATAAAGATTTGTATTCAAATTAATATGTCTCTAAACATGAAGAGCGAGAGACAGAGACCTCAATGCAATATCCAATAATGACAGTGATATAAGCATTAGAGATATCGTATCATTAAAGAATATATGCATTCCCTTGTGTCCATTGGCACAAGATAACAAAGTAGGCCTATTTGACAACTATGAATGCATTTGAAAAGTATTAATGCATTTGAAAAGTATTTATGCATTTTAAAAGTAGTAATGCATTTGAAATGTATTTGGAATGCTATGTTTGTAAAGTCTCTCAGAATATTTACAAAGTAGCCTAATGGCAAAGTATTGGCACAGTTTTGAAAGTTCTCAAATGCAAAGCAAAATACTTAATGAAAGTACTGTGTGGTTACTAAAAAGTTAATGTATTCTTCACTGATATGATGCCCATCTGGTGTCCACTTTCTTCTCCTATGAGCCAAGCCCAGCTCTAGTTTAAAAAACTCGTAATTCGAACTGCTATGTGAAAGTGAATTTGATGCGTGCTTTTTATCTATTTAGTGTTTTGCCAACATTTAGTGTTGGATTGTTTTATATTTGAGAAGGCAGCATCAGAATATTCTTATAGAGGGTCATATACCGAATTTCTGTGACTTAGGCAGGCCTAATCTTTCAACTGTTTTACTGGTTATTACTTTTACTATTAATATGTATTATTATTATTTACTGCTAGTATTATTGTATGCTATTTCTACCTGAAAAAATTTAATAATATAACTATAATGACACTGTGTAATTCACAGAAGAAGTGTTTGTTTTGCAATATTTGCTGCAATATCAATGGCTCTGGTAACACAGCAAGGGAGAGAGGGTGAGAGAGAGATAGAGAGAAATTGAAATTGAATTGAAGGAGAGAGAAATTGAATTGAATTGAGTGAGAGAGAGAGAGAGGAGGGGAGAGAGAGAGAGAGAAAGAGAGCGGGTGAGAGGGTGAGAGGGAGAGAGAGAGAGAGAGAGAGAGAGAGAGAGAGAGAGAGAGAGAGAGAGAGAGAGAGAGAGAGAGAGAGAGAGAGAGAGAGAGAGAGAGAGAGATTATGCCCACAATGGCGACCGAAGGTATGTTTCAAAACCTTTGGTTCCTTATCCGGGGACTACCTCTCACTCTGCCATTGGGCCGTGGGGTCACGTGGTAAAAGTAACTTTACAGGGCTGCTCGCAAGTAGGAGGGCTATATGGAGCAGAAAAACGACAAAGCTAGAAAAATAAATTTCCACTGCAGAAATTAATGATCATGAGCTCGTATTTGATGGACTCTACCTACATTGATCCGAAATTTCCTCCATGCGAGGAATATTCGCAAAATAGCTACATCCCCGAGCACAGCCCCGAATATTATAGCCGGGCAAGGGACCCTGGCTCTGGTTACCAGCATCACCATCAGGAGTTATACCCTCCGCGGGCGAGCTACCAAGAGCGCCAATATAACTGTGCAAGCATCCCTGAACCTGACACGCAAAGGGGACATGGACTACCTCATTCTGCGCACCTGCTTGCAGGCAAAGGGCAGCCAGCCTCATGTGAGACCCCACAGTTACCCATGTCCCCTTCCACCCCACCGGCTGCATCCTCCGCCTGCAACCAAGCTACACCGGAGCATCCAAACAGCTCAGCCTCCAAGCAGCCCGTGGTATACCCATGGATGAAGAAAATTCACGTCAGCACCGGTAGGCAACTTGTCTGTGTTTGTCTCTTCTCTCTCTACACTCTCCTACACCTCTCCCTTCCTTTCCCTCCCTTTATCAGTGCCTCTGACTTCCATCTCCTTCCCAGCCCCTGCTAAAATAGGGGAGAAGCCTTTGAAATGGCACAATTGAGGCGGATTTACGACTCGGCGTCGGTAATTACACCCACCATAAATTTTATAGCCGAGGTATACTCTGGGCAGCCATATCACCATGTGGCTTCTGCTGTTATGTATGTGCGCGATGGAGAGAAGAGGGGGAGAGATGAACAGAGAAAAGACTGCGCTTTGAAATCTTTCATTAATAATTTAACGCATACTTGGATGTGAGTGTCCCCTCATTATGGCGAGAGAGACAAGTTCTTAACTTCCCATTTAGATTAATTCTAATACCATAACTACCATATCTAGCCATTCCTTCTGCCCATTCCCATCATATATCTCAGTTGAAGACACTATTGTTTACCCACTCCTTCCCTTTCTTTCTTTCTTTCTTTCTTTCTTTCTTTCTTTCTTTCTTTCTTTCTTTCTTTCTTTCTTTCTTTCTTTCTTTCTTTCTTTCTTTCTTTCTTTCTTTCTTTCTTTCTTTCTTTCTCCCTCTTTACTTCTCCCCTTTTACAGCGAACCCGAATTACAATGGGCCGGATTCCAAGCGGTCTAGGACAGCCTACACTCGACAGCAGGTCTTAGAATTGGAGAAGGAATTCCACTATAACCGCTATTTAACTCGGCGGAGGCGCATCGAGATAGCTCATACCTTGGTTCTCTCCGAACGACAAATCAAGATTTGGTTTCAGAACCGCAGGATGAAGTGGAAAAAAGACCATAGGCTTCCGAACACCAAAGTGAGATCCTCCTCCACGGGCATATCCTCCGGTTCCAACACAACCTCATCAGCCGGCGTTGTCGCCACTTCCTCGGCCACTGATAGCATTACACCCGATGAACTGTCTGGAGTAGAGGATGGCGAGGATATTACAAGGTTATAAGGCGAAAAGAAAACCACTTCAAGAAAGGGGATAGTGAAATGACTGATTATTTATAGTATATTATATATTTTGTTTTCGTAGGTATTTGTGCGGTTTCATTTAAGTCCAAAGTTATATAAAATGCATGTTATATAGCATGGATTTATGCGAATACGGATGGGTTATTTTTACGTGACACAGGGTTTAAGTTATTTAATGCTGAATCAAGATGATGTTTTTTTATGAGAAAAATGTTTTGAATGAAGGAAAATAATGTACATTTTATCTAAATGTTATTGTGAGCCATTTGTATGCCCTGCCGCCCAAGTTGAAATGCACAATCTATTTATTTCAAGCTCAACACTGGAAGAATATCATTATTAGGCTATCATAGTTATTTTTGGTAAAAATGCTGCAACATACCGATGGAACATTGATCTTGAACGCATATGTTCAGGATTATAACAAGGTAAATTACCTCTTTGCTTTCAAAAACAGGATTTTGAATTACAATCTAGTTTGTGGTGTGTTTAGCAGATTATTGTGAAATGCAATAAACAGAGTTGAGTGTATTTGTGATAATCATATTGGTCAATAAAAAAGTGAGTGTACTAGTTTTACACACGTTTGGATGGATTTCATTCAAGGCCAACAGAGCTGTGCCTATTGTTTTGGTGACTGTGTATATTGATGTGGTGGGCCGTTATTTAAAAATAGTATAGTCACAATTTACCAAGTTCTTTACTTATGGTTCAGCCTAACAAAGCATTATTTGTTTGGCAAAATTGAGCTTTTAATTGTTTAGCCTATGCCAAATAAAGGTATGATACTGTCGGTTTGAAATGTTCCTTTAGAATCGTTCTCGAGGTAGGCACGCGTATACAGATCCACCATTCATATTCCCCCCTAATCCAATAATAATCCATAATTCTACTCCAAATAAAGGGTTATAGCCTGGCTGCATGCATCATACTATCCTACATATAGCTCATTAGTCTCAAGGACATTCAATTAACTTGGCAAGCCATTCAACCAGGCCCTCAACCAGGCCCCCTCAGATTAATACTGACTGGCTGGAGCCCTGCTTCCGGCTCATTACTGAACATATAGCTCTGCACATACCTTTGGAAATCAATTTCATATTGCCAAAATATGACACATAATCAGTTGTGTTGATAATATATGGCTTCCTATTAATTCATTGTTTTGCCCCAATTGCAGGTTGCTTTTATTTTCTTCTAATAAAGTAAATAACTTGAGGTCAGATTCTGGAAGGCCTAAGGCCGTGAAGGACTATATCGTGGACTATAAGTGAGAATATATCCTACAAAATATTGTATTAGGATTATATCTACCAACAAGACCTATTGCCTCTTAAAAATATGCGTCCAGATTTTCCAAGATGATCTTGTATAATACAATAGTTTGGATAATAGTGTTTTATATGAATGCACGTAGGCCTTCTCAATATGCAATAATTTGTATCCTATATACAATGGAATGTTAGTTGTAAATCTGAGATGTTCACCAAATTGTCATTCTAATAATAGTCTATGTTTGTTGGGCCCTGAGACCTCCCCCGTCAAAGTGAAGAGTGCTTTTAAAAAGTGGCGCTCGAGGTAAAGTCATCGTCACCTCTGCTCTTGGTAAGTATAGCCTACACTGCTCAAGCATCGTGTGGAGGGATTTTCGATAGGTCTATGGCAGTGTTGTGGACTTGTTGTCACCATGCAACTGTAATAATACATAGGCTAGTCATATTGCGCCTTTGATCTTCTGTAGGCCATAGCCATGAAACAGGCCGTCCAATTAACAGTTCTCCAAAACGAATTTCATTGTAGAAAAACTTTTTCTTATCATGCTCAAAATGTTGTGCAAAAACATGCCATGTTTGAAAAGAGGGCAAGAATTTGATAGATTATTTAAACTGTGTGACTTGAATAGAAATTATAAAACGGCTTGCTAGGTGGGGGACAAAGAGCACAAAGGGAGAGGTTTTCTGAACCATCAATCTTAGCGCCGCAGAGTAAAGAATGATTTGGGCCTGAATATATTAATTTGGCAACAGCCTCTCTCACAGAAATAAACCCAAATCTCTAACTATTAACTTTACGAAATAAAACTATCAGGGCCAAAAAGGAAACTTAACACCGTGACTTGGACATGACTTTGGAATGGCAGTTGGAACGCGCGTAAAGCCCTAAAACATGCAGAATTCCAGGAGCCTTTATATAGCTGCCTGGACAGTTGAGAGAAATGAATGTGTAGCTACGCCACAGTCTCACCATCCCTCCAATCTCTTTCTAGATCCTGTCGCCTCCATGTAGCGAGGCTGAAAAGGCACTTTATTGAAGTTTGGAACCAACCGCGAGAAGGCCGAGTTCAGTCGGAGGGCACATTTTCTGTCCCATTAGGTCCGTTTCAGCCGGGATGGTCGACCTTTGTAACCCCCCGTGACCTGACTGGGTCTCTATACTTGTACCTTCTGTGTGTGCCCTCGTAGGTCGTCCCCGGTCCTTGCGTGGCCTCGTCAGGGCTCTGGACTTTCTTTGTGGGTTTTTCTACTTGAGGGGCCGGTAGAAGGGCACCTCTGAATGTGTTGCTCTTTTGTTGCTCTCAGTGGTGACCCGAGAGTGCGGTGAACTGTCGGTCACTTCTCTTCCATTGTGCACCCTGTAGGACCTAGACCCCTTGTAGGACATCCTACAAATTTGAGGGACTTCCAAGTGGTTGCTTCGGAGCTTATGATCAGTCTGCATGTGAGTGTTCCTCATGTCGAATGCATTATTACGTTTTTATATCAGAAATATGTACATAACAAAAATAGTTTTGATGTGCATAGCTTCAATGTAATCTGGCGAGTAAATGTTCGAGGATAATAATTACATTTCAATATGATTAAATGAAGGATTAGTAGGCCTAGACCTATCTGTATGTGCACATTCCGGCGGTGTATAGGCCTACCTACATTTATCATTTCAACTGCAATTTTGATCATGGACATGCCTTTGATTCTTACAATAACAAAACCAGTTCTTAAATAATTAAAAAAAATTTTTTAAAACATATATATTTGTTTAATCCCTATGCTGTTGCTATCATTTGCATGCCTATTGTATATTTTATTACAAGCTTTTGTACCTCATGTAGCGAAAACCTATATTTGCAGTTGACTGATTTACTGCGTAAAGGTCAGTTTACGATCTATGGTCAAAGTGGGCCTACGAATATCTTGACTTAACTCTCTCTCTCACCACACGACAGCATCAGAGATGCTCATTAGAGATTCTGCAGGGAATCTCCATGCAATATATTGCACGGCAGGTGTGTTTCATAGACGTATTCCACTCTTACAGTTTAAACATTTGGCTTTATCTCAGATTCGTTTCCATATAGACATTTAGGCTATGATATGTTACAGTATGTATTTGTGTGGGTAAAAGAGTACATGGTGACTCGTAATCACTCTATTATATATTATGAACTGTATTTAGAGGTTTGACGTTCAAATTTACCTTTTAGAATTATTAAACACAAAATAGTGTTTTC